GATCCCAAACGTTTCTGCCATGGCCTCTCCGCCTGGCACAGCCGGGCACGTCACCACGTGGCCGCACACGTGGGCACCGGCTCTTGTCACGTGAGGTGCCACTTTGTCCCTCGCATTGGGGCAGCGGGGAGAGCTGCAAAAAAGATTAACGGAAGCGAAACTCCCCTCCTCCCCTTCCCACCCCAGATCCAGCCTATTTTCTTTCCTCTCCTTTTGTTTCCGATTTCCGGAACTACGCAGCAAAGCAAAGCGAGGGGAGAAGAAAGAGGCTGAAGAGAGCTGGCATCTGGCAGGGAAAAGCACAAAAACGCGGGGCAGGGGGGTTGCCAACCTCATGGGGGAAGAAACCTCTCCAAACACGGGCCAGGAAGGTATTAACGGGAATACCCACAAAATAATTCCCTGCGGACGCGCATCCTTGTGCCCATCCTGCTCCGCACCCGGCACAGGCGATGCCCCCGCGGCTACGTTTTCGGCAGCGGAAACATCCGGAGCCGAGTTGTTCTTTCTCCGATGCCCCTTTTCCAGGCGGAGATGCCTGCATCTATTTTCTCCTTGTTCTTTTTCCTCTGTCCCGAGCTGTACAGAGGAGGCTTTTGCATGCAGCCCCACTGAAGATAATGTTAATTATGCAAATTAATTAGGACCAGGATGCAGTGTTTTCCCCCCTGAGGAGGAAATACAGTAAACTCCATTTCTGTGAGCTGTTTATTCAGCCAGGGGGGTCGGAGGAGAATAGCGGTGTCAAAGACGCTGCCACTTCCAAGGTCCTTGTGTCCCTTCTGCACGGCGCTAGAAAGGGAACAAAACTCTGTTGACAGCAAAATCTCAGTGGGAAGCAGAGTGCCAAGGGTGCCAGGTTTCCAAGCGCCCGGGGGGAACGGGCTTTGCTCCCGGCCTCTCAATGAGCCAGGGAAAGCAAATCCACCCTTTCAAGGCCTCTGGCTCCCTCCGGCCCCTTCCAGAGGCTCCGATTGCCCCGCGCGCCTCCTCTCCCATCCGCATTGCTCCATCTCCCATTCCCAGTGCATCCTGGGAATATCTTTCCCTCTTTCCCCAGGGCCAGAGCACCCCCAGCCTCATCGTGCTGACAATCTTCCATCGTCACTTTTAACCCCCCTCCCCGTTGCTGATCCAAGTCGGGATGTTTTTTCCCCCCCCCCTTTTTTTTTTCCTCCCCTTCTTTTCTTTCTCTCTTTCTTTCTCTTTTTTTAATGGCGTTTCATTAGCTTCCAAATCAGACAGGCTAAACAAAAGCGTCCTGTCAGCGATGGGCTTTCGGGCTGATTTCATCTCCTCTCTCATCCGTATGCAAACCAGGCTCCAGCGGGCTTTGGGCATGCCATGGAAACCGAGGTGCAGGCCCGGAATGGGGGGTTCTCGGAGTGGGAAATCTCCCGCTCGCCTTTTCCCATTTGCATAATGCAACTTTTCTTCCTGCAGACACTGAGGCGCTTTGTTTCTAGGAGAGAAAAGGGGGAAGGCGGCCGGCTAGGAGGGGGGCAAGCGCAAAGGGACGGCAGCGCTCGCCAAAGCCGGGGCCGCGGCGACGGATGGGGAATATATATGAGGATGGAGACTGGGAAATGGGGCTGGGCTGCTTCCCCGTGATCCCGGGACCCGCTCTTTAGGGTGTCGGGGGGGGTTTGGTGGGATGGAACATGCAGCTGGGAGCCGGGAGCTGCGCGGGATTCCAAGCCGTTATCCTGATAATGCCCTTCCCTTCCCATCCGCGGGGAGAACAGGAGCCTTTTCAATAACCGCAAAGGGGCTTAGGGTGAGAAGTTCAGCGGGTGGAAGCCAAAAGGCTTTTGGGGGGAAATAGTGGCCCAGGGCTAGCGGGGAGGGTGGTTATGGAACGGCCAGTAAGGAGCCTGTTGCCCCATTAGGAGCAGGGAGAGAGGGGAAAATCCCAGATTTATTTGCAGGGAGGCCCGGGGGTGGGAGGGAAGAAGCTTCTTCACTCTCCCTTGAAGTCCAGGAGCAAAATTATCCGGTCCTGGAAGATGCATCCCGTCCCGTGCCGGGGTATTTCCATCTTGCAGTTCTCCCTCGTGCCTCGCTTGAGCCCAGAGCTCGCAGGGTTGTCCTTGCAAACTGCGTATTCCCGGGCCCATCCTCCTCATCCTCCTCCTTGCTTTATGAATCATGAGGCTGCACGTTTAATAGGAGTAATAATAATAATAACAGCAGCAAAACATATTCAGCAGTGACAGATGACAGACATGGAACCTGCACTTAATATTTTAGGATACACAAAGATCTCCGTGAAGAGTTTGGAGCAGGCACCCTATGGAGGTGTTTGAGGGCTTCGCCTCAGCGCTGCTCTGTTTTTAAGGTGATTTGGTGCAAATTGGATGTGCTCTTGGGCTCTCCCCTTTGGCATCATGGTGATGATGGGAGTTGGGGGTGAGCGCTGCTCCAGCCCCTTTGAAGAGCTGGGATTTATCCTGGGCGATGCTGAGATTTCCATAAGATTTCCATGAGATTTCCGTGATCGCAAGAGGGCATGTCTATCATCTCCCACCACCCCTGGCAGAACTTTGGGACAATTTCAGCCCTTTTTGGCTTCACATTGTGCTCCCAATTGCCCCTTGGCAGCTGCTGGAAGGCCTTTGGGGCTTAACCCAACGTTTTCCAGAGAGGCTCCTTTCCAGCTTTCTGCTGGAGCACAACGGGTGCAAAATCTGCCCAGGAATAACAGCTTCCTGGGTGCATCGGAGCATCCTGGTCCCAGGAAACTCAGAGCGCCTGATTTCGGGCGGCTTCGGAGATGCACGTCCAGATGTTGCCACATCTGGAACGACTCCATCTCCAGCGCCGGAGCAGGCAGAGGGCTCTGGGGCCGCCCTCCGGCCCGCCGGTCACGGCAATTTGTCACCGAGCGGCGGTTTCAAAGGCAGCCCCCGACGCGGGGGCAGGGGTTATGCAAACAGCGTCGCTTAAAGGCCACTCGCCCCGGGTGCTGCCGCCGGCCCCGCGCGCCGCACGGTCCCGCTTGACCCGCCGCCGCGGCCGCTTTGTCCCATCCGGGCCCGTTTGTCAATAAAATTAACCCCCGAGGAGCGGGGAGGGCAGCACGGGCTCGTGGCCGCATTTCCCTTTTCCCCCCCGATTTTCTTTCGGCGTCTTCGGCATTAGCCTGCAATTCCAAGCAGAACGCACTAAGTCCCTCCATCTCCCCTCATTCCTGCACGCTCCCGTGCGCTTCCATGTGCTCCTGCTCCCGGAGCAGGATAGCCGGCGATTCCGGAGGAGCAAGCGGCAATTAGGATGGGTAAAGAGCCCCTTAGTGCCCATGCGTTACATAACACCTCCATCCCCATCCCTTCGCCCTCCACTCGATGCGCAATTTTTAATTTTCCCCCCCGCCTTCTAATTTTATTGTTATTTTAAACCGGGCGAAGAAGGCGCTAATTGTTTGGTGCCAGGGAACAGCTTGTCCCCAAAAAACCCGAAACAGGGGCTGATAGTGACACACCGGCCCACGATTTTAGCCAACAATTTTAATGACCAACACGGTTCCCAGTGGCTCATTAGGGGGTGACATAGATGGAGGGAGGGATCCAGCCCTCCCTTCCTGTGGCCACTGCATCCTGCTCCAATTCCTGTGGTCATTTCGGCACCTCTTCATGTCCCTCATTGCCCCCAGCTTTAATACATATATATATATATATATTTCCATGTTTTCCCTTGCAAAAGTCCCTTGAAACAGCAGTTGGACCTGCTCTGTCACCAAGATGAGATCCGGGCAGGTCTCTTGGCAGCTGGGCGCTTTCCTGCTGTTGCATTTTAGGAAAAAAAGACCTCTTTTGGGAAGAGAAGGAATTGTAGAGGAGCTTTTCTAGCATGTGGCATCAGCAAAAATGGGGCATTTGGGTCCCTGAGTCGCAAGTGCACGCGGTGCCCGCGGGCAGAGGGTCTCTCTTTGCACCTTGAAATGGGGTAAAAAAGAGGAAATCCAACTTTCTCGGGTGCCTTTTGCTGCCGTGCAGGGAAAGGGGTGATGGGGGGACGCGTCGAGGCCTCGACGCTGCCGGGTCCCGGTCCTGGGAGCTGCCTCCGGAGCGGCGGGGCGCGCCGGCGGCGGTTAGGCGCCATCTGCTCGCCAAAGCGCCCGCATTATTTTCCTCCCGGGAAGCAAACGGCCCCTACGGAGAAGCAATTTGTTCGCTGGCGAAACCTTGCAGGCTTTCGCCTTGGCGACCTCCCCGCGCCGGGGCACGGACCGAGCTCTCCGCACGCTTAAACAAGCTGCGGCCACCACCGTGGCACGTGGGCTACTTAAACGGGGCCGCTGGGCTCTCTGAAGGTGCTTGCTGGAATTCAGAGCTTGTTGAAGGCGACCAAGGAGGGCGGTTTGGCCCCTGGGGTCTTGCAAGAAGCTCCTTGCCTTGGAGAGGAGCTCACGAGGTGATGGGGAAATTCCCTGCGTGGGAAAAGGCTGGGAATTGCGGGATCCCCCGAGCCGGGTGGGTGCATCCCATAGGAGCTATTGGGATCAGCCTAGCGCATGGCCCTGGTGCTCCGGGTGTTCTCCAAGAGCAGCAAACTCACTCGCGCATGCGGGGAGGCCGGGGCTTCCCGCTGGCTCCAGGTGGGGAAACTGAGGCACAGCACAGGGATAGGGGAAAACCAAATGTTAAAAGACACGGAAAGCCGTTCCCATACCACGGATTTTTTGCCATTGGGCATCTTTTCCGCGGGATGGGAGGGAAAGGTCCAGAGGGGAAGGTAGGGGACATCCCTATGCAGGGACACCACTGTCACCCGCGGTGCTGCTTCCCAGGCACGGGCTGTCCTGTGCTGTCGCACCCTCTGGTGGCCAAAACTTGGGGAAGACTCATCCCATAGCAGCAGGATTTGATAACAGAGACACCGAAAAAAACAGTAAAGGACCTTTTTTATTGATTTTGCTTTTTTTCTCGTGCCCATGATATCCCTTCCCGATAGAGCAACCTGAAAGGAAAGGCCCCCTCTTCCTAGCACTCCTCCCTTCCTCAAGCCTCGGAGAGCGGCGTGTGGGGAAACCGAGGCACAGCCCGGGGCTGGGAAGCGACTTCCAGCTCCACGTCCTGCTTCCCAAGCCGGCGGGTTCCTCCGGAGCAATCCGGCCTGTCCCCTCTCCCGGTGCTGGCGCATCCTTTCGCCACCAGCTGGTCCCAGAAAGGCCCGTGGGGCCCCGGAAAATCTTTTTGGGGACCAGATCCCGCACGGGGACGGTGAATTGGGAGCTGCCTGGCGCTGGCAGTGCCTGGCCGCAGCGCGATGTCACCTGAGCGTGGGGACGGCTACACCGCCGTGCTGGCACCCGGCTCCTCTCCGCGCGCTGGCCGCTCGCTGGAGCCCTGCGCCAACGTAGGGACATGAATCCCGCTCCATCTGGAGCGGAGCAGCATCCCGTTACGGCAGGGGGGATATGGGGATTTCCAACCCATCGGAAGCTATCCCCCCCCAGCCTTGTCCAGCCGGGATGCTCTGGCCGGGGGAGCCGCCTGTGCCCTCATCCGGGTGTTTTAGCGATAAAATCACTGCTTTACCTCCCGGAGGGTCTCCTTTTCCAGGTACGGTGTGTCCAGAGATCCCAGACACTTAATTTTCAGGATGACTCCTGGAATGCCAAAAGCCACATAAGGGCGTTTCGCAAATTGTGGGGGAGCCTCCCCACTCCCCCTGCATCCCACCCTCTCCATCGGTGGATCCCACTATCCGGATGGGGCCAGGCTGTAGCCCCCACATTGGGAAAGGCTCTGCCATCCCTGGGAATCTGCACGGGCTTTCCATGACATCTAGCGGTCACCCAGGCAGGGACAGCTGCTCGCAGGGAGCCCGAACCCCTTCCCAGGTTTTTCCCAGCTGGATGGATGCAGGATGTTCCCACGTTTGCCCAACATGGTGCATCCCAAGGCTGCTGCCAGGTGCCCCCGTCACCGCTCCGGCAGTCCCCGTGTCCCGTCCCGCTGGAGCGCGGCTCACCGGTGACGCTGCCACCGAATACGGCGAATATCAGCGTGATGGGCAGCGCGCAGAGCTGGCACAGGGCTTGGTAGGTGGCCGTCCTGCTGCCATCGGCGACGCTGGGGAAAGCCAACTGCAGCCTGCACGCCAGAGAGGGGACACATTCTGAGGGGACATTAGATCTATGGGGACGGAGGAGTTGCACGGAGCATCCCCTGTTGCAGCGTGGGTTCCGGGCAGGTCCGTGGGGACACTGGTGGCTCCAGCCGTGTGCACGGGGCCACCCCGCGATGCTCTTCTCACCTGTCACCGTAAGTGTCAGCGGTCGCCAGCGCTGCGAGCAGCGTCCCCAGCAAGGTGCCCAGGGTCCCCGGCACGCCGTGCACGCCGTGCACGCTCCGTGCATCCCGGATGCCCAGCTTGCGGAGCAGGACGGGCTGCGGAGAGCGCACGGGACAGCGCTCGGTGGGGAGGCCGTGGCGAGCCTCCGGCTTAAGGATGCGCCAGCGGCACATCCCGTTTCTCCAGCAGAAACGCGGCCTAACCCAAGCTGCAGCGCTCCAGGGCTCATCCCACCCCATGCTGCGATCCCAAAATCACAGAATCATAGAATTGTTAAGGTTGGAAGGGAGCTCTAGGGATCATCCAGCGCAGCCCCCTGCACACGCAGGGTCACCTAGAGCACGTGGCACAGGGCTGCGGCCAAGCGGGTTTGAAGATCTCCAGAGAAGGAGACTCCACAACCTCTCTGGGCAGCCTGTTCCAGGGCTCTGGCACCCTCACTGGAAAGGGATTTTTCCTTAAGTTCATGTGAAACTCATGAACGTAACGACAATCACTCACTTAATCACTCTTAATCACTCACTGCGAGGAACCTGGAGCTGAGCGGGGGTATCAGGCCGGCCAGGAACCCGGCAATGAGGGCCCCAAACGGGGCAAGCAGCATCTCCCCGGCCATGCCCATCATGACTGCGCCGGCCATGGTGGCATCCTGGACCTGGCTCTGCAGGAGACAGGACGGGCTCAGGGCCCTGCTGGGGTTTGGGGACACGGGAGCTGAATGGGAAGGGACCCCAGGCTGGGTGTCAAGACCCCTGTGGATGGGACATTCCCACACGCCATCCTCCCATCCCGTCCCCTCCCTGATGTATGGATGCTCGTGGTCCCTATAGGAGAGGCTCGGGGCAGTGCGGAGGACGAGGGCCGCGTCCCTAGGCCCTACCATCCATGGCGTGCCGTCCTCGCGGAGGAGAGGGGACATGACGAAGGTGGCCAGGGTGCTGGCTGCCATCGCCATGTAGGTGTTCAGCTCTGCCCAGGGCTCCACGCTGGCGGGGACCGCGGCGGCCGAGACAAAGCCAGGCCAGAAC